AGATATTTAGAAAATTCGCATAATTTTTGCAAAAGGCTGTATCTGAAATATATAATGAATATGTCGTCTTAGACACTAAAAAGTCCTATTACAATTCATCCAAATGATCGTTACTCAAACTCTCAAACAGTTGTTACTGAATTTAATACCGCTGTCCTTGTTGTACCAGCCACTGCTGTCTCGCCAGGAACGTTATTTAGTAACGGGATTAAAATCACTTTGCCCTGGCTGAACACCAAAAGAGACAGAGGCAGGCAATAACTGGCGGTCCCTTTGACCACTCAATGAAGACTCGCTCAGCCAGGACTAATCTGTCATCAGTGTCCTTAGGTCTTGTCAACTTAATCCAATTAGTGTGGAAGATGAGTGGTCAAGGGGACCGCCAGTTATTGCCTGCCCCTGTCTCTTTTGGGATCGGGTAATCATCGAGTTACGCGCTTCGAGTTACGCGCTTTTCGAGTTACGCGCTTTTCGAGTTACGCGCTCCTCGACCACGCCCAAATTTCCCTCTGCCACGCCCAGCGCATAACTCGATGCAACTAACATACATAAGTGTCTTCGAGTTACGCGCCTAGCGCTTAACTCGATGCAACTAAAATAACTTAGTGCCTTCGAGTTACGCGCTTTTAAATTAAAATCAATATAAAAAAGAGCTCATTGCTTTTACGGCTTTTATTTTTAAAGCAAAATATATATAGAATATGAAATATGTCAAGTTTTAAAATTACAAATGGCAGCCCTTTTAGGCTGCTCGAAAATGTTTGAAAATGTTTGAGTAAGCCGACCATAAAATCGCTTGTATCTCCGCTATTAAAAAAGTATTTTTGTGAGTACTCTATAAGGTAAATATGTTATAGCTTGGCTAATATTTCACAGTCAGTTATTTTTAATACACTATTCACAACAACTTATTGCGTTTACATTGATGGAATAGATACTTCTATGATGTAAGGGTCGTCTATCATTCGACCTTTGATAGAAAGATAAATTTGGAATATCACGTACACCAATATGTACGTCTTGGCTTCTCTTTATCTTCACAATGCAAGTTAATTTTTATTTGCTAAATTCTGTGTCCGTCCTCAATTAACCCACGAGGGGCTTTCGACGTATCATTAATTCAATGTTAGTACACAACCAACATTGATCTCCATTGATATCATGCATCATGATACAAACGTCCGAAGAAAAGTCATTGATGTTTTCCTTTTTGTTTTGTCACCTCCAATTATAGAAATATATTCAAAAAAACATTGTTGAGTGACTTTGTGAAGAAATGGCGTGATTCTGTTCATTTATATTGATTTTCATTTAAAAGCGCGTAACTCGATGCAACTAACATACATTAGTTGCATCGAGTTAAGCATCGAGTTAAGCGCTAGGCGCGTAACTCGAAGAAACTAATGTATGTTAGTTGCATCGAGTTATGCGCTGGGCGTGGCCGAGGCAAATGTGGGCGTGGTCGAGCGCGTAACTCGAAGCGCGTAACTCGAAGATTACCCGCCCTCGTCTCTTTTGGTGTTCAGCCAGGGCAAAGTGATTTTAATCCCGTGGCGAGACAGCAGTGGCTGGTGCAACAAGGACAGCGGTATTAAATTCAGTAACAGCCGTTTGAGAATTTCTGTAACGATCAATTGGATGAATTTCGTAAAATCAAGTGCTTTTTAGTGTCTATGACGACATATTCAGTATATAATCCAGATAAGTAAAAGTTTATTCATTATCGACTTTCTAAGTTGGATAAATTCAGCAATTTGTCGATCTTATAGGTCATAATTTCAGTTCTAGCGCCCTTGCTTAGAAGGAGGCAATTCCGGGAGAAAGACGCTATATAAGGAATAAATTCGGAAAAATTTCCGACCTCGCTTTCGGTGACTTTGCCCATTCCATTAGTGTGAATAATAGCGTGCTTTTTCTGCAAACTTTGGGTAACTTTGGCGCCGGGTAAAATTGTTTATGTTACTTTTAT